GCGAGATCCGCAGCGCCGGGCACTTCCTCGACATGGAAAACAAATCGGCCTGCCGCGACACCCGCGCAGCGCTGATCGACTTCCTGAAACCGACGCAGCGTGAACAGCGTGCGCGTTACCAGTACGTGCAGGGCCAGCATGCACTGGCAGTCTGAAGAAAACGGGCGCCTGTAGCCCGGCCAACTGGATCATCGGCCCCACGGGCAGAAGGAAGGTCCACGCCCCGGCGCTACAGGTCGCATCGCTGCCCTACCGATATAAAGCTTCAAATTGCCGCAATGTTCTGGTACAAAGTGGCCCTGCGCGGGTGTCGTATAATGGCATTACTCCAGCTTCCCAAGCTGATAACGAGGGTTCGATTCCCTTCACCCGCTCCAGATTCCCTGCGCTATGCCCCGCCAAAGACTCCTTCTGGTCTGTAGCCTTTCTTGCTCATTGATCCAGAATCTCGGATCTTTCTGACATACCAGTCTGCCTCTCACTGCTAGCTCGATTACCCCGTCATCGCTCATAACGACGAAAACAGCCCCTGGATCAGTTGCCCCGATGTGAGAGCTCTCAGTGGTCGCCGCTTGAGTCCTCTCAATCGCGGCATGGAACACAGGCGCCCTGTAGTAAATCGCCCTACAAAACGTAAACTTTTATGGACAGCAAAATCGAACAACTGACAGAAACCGTCGTAAACCCTTCCTAAAACGCCAAAAAAGTCGATAAAACCCCATCAAAGAAAAATAATGTAACGATTTACTTGACGCACCCCACCCCAATCGTTTCTTATTTTTCCCACCTTGCCCAGCGTCCGATACCCCAAGAACAAGCAGCGCCGCCCCCTGACGCCCGCGCGCGTCGTACCTGCACGCTCGTTTTACCGGTCCGGTCCTTGCCAGTGACACCGGCGCCTCGCCCGCGCCCATTCCAGCTCCAACATAAAAGGTGAACAACATGGAGCCCACCCGTTCGACCCTGTCGTGCCCGTTGCAAACCCCGTCCGTGGTCCCACACCAGGAGCAGCGCCCGCATGCAGCCTGAGCACAGCACCCACGGCAATCTGCAACTTCGCAAGTCCCTGCGCCTGTGGCAGGTGGTGATCATCGGCCTGGCCTACCTCACGCCCATGACCGTGTTCGACACCTTCGGCATCGTCTCCGGCCTCACCGCCGGGCACGTTCCCAGCGCCTACATCCTGGCCCTGCTGGGCATCCTCTTCACCGCCGTGAGCTATGGCGTGCTGGTGCGGCACTTCCCGCAGTCCGGCTCGGCGTACACCTACACGCAAAAAAGCGATCAACCCGCATGTCGGCTTCCTGGTGGGCTGGTCGTCGCTGCTGGATTACCTGCTGCTGCCGATGGTCAACGCCCTGCTGGCCAAGCTCTACCTGGGCGCGATGTTCCCCGAGGTGCCGGGCTGGGTCTGGGTCACCGCCTTCGTCACCCTGATCACCCTGATCAATATCCGCAGCATCACCTGGTGGCGAACTTCAACGTGCTGTTCGTCGGCGTGCAACTGGTGATCATGGCGGTGTTCGTCTACCTGTGCCTGGCGCGGCCTCGGCGACGGCGAAGGTCAGGGCACCCCATGGACGCTGATCCCGTTC